TCACGGGGCCGTACGTGACAACCACGCAGAACGGCAGGCTGAGTTTGATAAATTTAAGTTGTAGGTGAGTTGGGAACATTTCCTGAAAATTTCAGCCTCCCAGCTTCCCTGGTTCTGGAGTTATCTATCTTCCCGCCAAAAATTTTCACGGACCGCACGTGGCAACCACGCATAACTGGGGGCTGAATCTGATAAATTTAAACTGTAGACGAGTTGGGAACATTTTCTGAAAGTTTCAGCCCCAGCTTCCCTTGTTCCGAAGTTAACCATTTTCCCGCCTAAATTTTTCACGGGGCCGTACGTGATAACCACGCATAGTGGGGAAGGGGGGCTGAATTTGATAAACTTAAGTTGTAGATGAACTGAAAACATTCGCTGAAGCTTTCTTGGTTCCCGAGCTAGCGATTTTCGCGTCAGGAACCCTTACGGGGCCGTATGTGGGAAACGCACACAACTGGGGGCTGAATTTAAAGTCTTTGAGTTCTATATGGACGGGGAACATAATCCCAAAATTTCAGCCTTCTAACTTTTCTGGCTTATCTATAACCTCGCGGAACTGTCACTGCTTGGAGTTTTGGACTGCGTACACATCAGAGATCCCCTGCTTCGGCTACCTCCTCTATTTCGCACTCGGTGTAAAAATATCACATGTGTTCCCTGTGCCAGGAGGTAATTGCTTTTATTCTCGCGCACACCACTGGTATCTTAACGGTTTTCAGTCTATTAGTAGCGTTTCTGATCCATCGGAATTTACTTTCTCTCCCAGTCTGAGAATGTTCTGCAAGCTGCTCATCTGACAAACCTTGTATTCGAAAGCTACAAAAAGATGTTTTTTTGAACAGTAGAATAAAAGAAATGGTCTTGAGTGTTATGTATAAGAGGATATTTTACGATGCAGTCTGCGTTTCATCCCTTAGCTGTAAACATAGACCAAATTATGCGTGCGGGTAGAAGCGGGAATCATCAATGCAGCCTCCTACCTACCATGTACTGAACAGCTATGTAACTAGTTTGAAAGACGGATATGCAAAAGAAGGAGAAAACAGAGAAGGACCAAACAGAGCAAGGCAGGAGTCAAGGAAGAGGGAGTTATCTGAAGTTACCGAAAACTATTTTGAGGAAATGCTTTTTATGAGCACAGTATGTTGACTAGGCGTTTAATTTCCGTATCATCAGAAAAGATGAATTTACTGATATCAGACCTGTTTTTGAAACAGAATCTGAGAGCGGAGCGTCCTATTTTGGCCATATCAAGTTTTTTATGCCTATAGATAAGCCGTCTGGCCCAATAATGAAACCGCTATGGAAGAGTGCATATACGTGCATATCGAAGTAACTACGATATAATAACACCTCCTTGCACGGTTTGGTCCATATCACTGTTGGGGTACCCTCCGTGATTTACAGTGAATGGGTAGTCCAAAGTATTACTATATACGCTAAAAGTACATTTGCCCTCTTGGCACGAAACATCGAGGTCTAAAAAACGAGCCCTTTTTCTGGAGTAAGTGGTGCTGAGTTGCAGACTGGAACCATAGATATTACTGGCAGTTTCAATAAATTTGGCGTAACTAATAATATGGATGTCAGCAATATATCGAAAGAGATGAAGATGAATCCCTGGATTCTTACGAAAGAACCGATGCTTCATGACTGACAATGTGGGATCGGCAATATCAGGACTAGCGTTACCGCCCATTGTTATGTGTTTTTTGCAGCAATGCAATGCGAAAAACGCATATTGACGAGAGGTTGTCTGTGTGTCCGTGTGTCGTCTGTCATGCACTTTCATCTCAGGACCTGTAAAAGCTGCGGGGCTGAAATTTCGGGAACTTGATCTACATGCACGTGCCGGGCCCAATCCCCAAAATGGGCGCCAAAACCCGCGTGGTACCCGCGCACGGGCTCGCCAAAGTTTTTTTGGGGTAAGTTCATAACTCGAGGATGTGAGAAGCTAGAACACTGAAATCTTGGGGTAATGTTCACCGCCCAACCGGATATTAGTGGGCTCAAACCCAGCCTACGAGTAAGCGTGGTACCCGCGTACGAGCCCGCCAAAATTTTTTTCGGCTAAGTTCATAACTCGGAAATGTGAGAAGCTAGAAGGCTGAAATCTTGGGGAGCCACGGAAGCTAGAAAGCTGAAATTTTAAGGGGATGTTTCCAGACAGTTCTGGCGGCCAGTCTTAATTTGTTTAGCTAGAAGCATTTGCTGAAAAAACCGGCGCCGGTAGCAACAAAAACTGCGGGGAACCATGCAAAAAAAAGCATCTTCGCACGGCAGCCCGTGCGTTGGCCAATTATTACACCTTGTACTTGCTTGAAAATGTAATTACTAAAACGCGCGTATGCTTC